TACATGCCCTTGACTGGAATCGAACCTGGGACCCTTCAATCCAGAGACTGACACTCTATTCACTGAGCCAACCTGGGCTTTTATCTCAACCCTGTATCCCCATTCCCACTTTCCTTTTGGCCACTTCATTAACATCACCATTAGGGTATAGGCAGATTTTCTAAATTCAGGGAGCATGGTGTGTTCAACTTTGTGTTGCACTAGCACTGCTTCAAGAGGATAGCCTGATGCCAAGGGTAAGTCCAACTGTGATTGCGGAGCGGTTTCAGTGACCCAGGCTTTCCCTGACTTCCAGCAGCGGCAGTTTCCTGTTTCCTGCTTGTATTCTAGGAAATAGAAACAAGATAGCAGGTGCATTGAGGTTTGTGACCACAATACTGACATGATTTTTTTTTTAAATTGTGCTTATGGTAAATTAGTTCAGTTTTGGCTAAGTAGAAAACATTTGAAGGAATTTCAGTACAAGCTTTTCATCATGGGAATACAGTGCATACCGTGAGAGCATGCGCAGCAGGTGTACTAGCTGACGAGGACTGCCAATACAAAGTACCACTGGGCAGCTTAAACAATAGATGTTTATTTTCTCACATTTCTGGAAGTCCAAGATCAAAGTGTCATCAGGGTTGGCTTCCTTTGAGGCCTCTCTCCTTGGCTTATAGACGACTGCCTTCCTCTTATGTCTTCATATGGTCTTCCCTTGTTCTCTATGCCCCAATCTCCTTATCTATCTATTTGTCTGCCTATCTATCATCATCTACCTATTTTTTTGAGAGGGAAAGAGAAACATTGGTCGGTTGCCTCCCATACACATTCAGACTGACAAGCTTTTGGTGTGGACCACACTTCAATCAATTGAGCACTAGGCCAGGGCCTACTCTCCTATCCTTATAAGGACACCAGTCACAATGGTTTAGGGCCCATCCCTATGATCTCATTTTGCCTTGATACTCTTTTTAAAGGCTCTACCTTCAAATGCAGTCATATTCTGATGCACTAGGGTTTAGAATTTCAGCATATGAATTTTGATGGAACACAATTCAGTCCTTATCAGGGGACACAAAAGCCATTAAATAAGGCATAAAGAAAATGTTTGGGAAGGCGAAAGTGAAAGTATTCAACTTCACATTCAAGATTTGGGCATAAGAAATAAAATTAAGTGTAGTTCAAATAATGATGGTTCTAACTGAAGGTCTGTTTATATTTTTGAAATTAGTTACATAGGGAAATGAGCAAATGAATTTATATTAAGCTCTAACAAAAATATAATGAAGTAAACACTGGTATGAAAATAATCAGCACCATGCTTTAAAGTGCATCAATATTTATAAATATGTTTGGCAATAATCACAGCAATAAAAAATTATTTCTTGAGGTCAAGAACAATTATAGAAACACACACTAATCCACCTAGCTAAAACTGGAAGAGGGAATATGAAGCTCAAAAGCACTTCTGGGGAAAAATGTGTAAAATCACAATTCATTGTTATAAAAGGATGAGAGATCTCATAGTGACAAGTCTTTAGAGATACATATTTTCATATTTAGGTTAAAAATGACTTGGACAAATAGCATGAGGAAGTAGAAACACTGTTTAGAAGTGATGTAATGAATCTAGTAGTTTCTTAGCAAACACCCAGTTGGAGCAGACTGGTGGCCATTCCTCTCTGGTACTGTTCCCAGCACCCAAAGGCCAACCCAAACACATACAAAGTGGGAATCTGTAAGCATCTGTACTATCCGCAGGAAACAAATCAGGAGAGAAGGGCAACAAACAGAATTTAATACTCAGTAAATTGTTTTATCCTTTGAAGATACTTTAATTTTACAGTTACTGATTAATTAAAAAACACAGTTGTTTTCAGCATTTCCTAGCTACAGTAGTGCATAGGAAATTCCATTCAAAACAAAGAAGTAAGTGATGAAATAACAATACACTTTAACATTTTACATTGATAGGTTACAGGTTACAAGGTGCTTTCACGTACATTATTTCATTTGATTCTTACACTAAGCAGAAAAAAAAACAATCAGTGGGAAAGAAAAAATGATTTTTTTTCTTCAAGCTTATAATGAGTATTTCAAGCCGATGGGCAATCAATACATGAACATATCAAAAACATGATAGTGATACCCACAAGCCACAATATTTTTTTTGGTGTAGGTTGACAGTTTGATATCAATTAGATATTTAGCATCAGTGAAGGAGGGAATCCGAATAGATACGAGATTCTCATGATATTCAAAGAGTTGTAAGAGATAAGAAGAAGAAAGACGCCCTAAAAGATCACCTTAACCACATTAATGTCAAACCATGTTATCCCTTCAAAACCTACCATAGAACAAATCCTGTCACCTGTGAAAGAAGAGACCTTAGAAACTGCCTAATGGAACTCTTACATTTTGCAGGTAAGAGAACTGAGACCAAGGTTATGATGACTGTAATAGACCAGGCCTGAAACTCAGATGTCATACTTCCAGTCTTGGGCTCACATGCCATCTCCTTATTCTTTACCAATTAATAAATAACTTCTTCTGTTTCAAATAATGTAACGTGAGGTTAAATACTTATTCATGCCACTTATTTCTTATTCAAGTTTTTATATTGTTCTTGGCTAAATCGTGGCAGAAACTGAGAATTTTGTATAATTGTAAGATATTCAATTCAGTGTACTTGATCAGTTGGAAACAGACTCCCTTGATATATTTAAAAGTTTGCTCAGCTTCTTTAAATAGAGAGTAAAATGTAATGGCTAAATAGCTCTCAAACCAATAATGTATTGCCTACGGGCCAACTGTCCAGATAGATTCTACAGCAAGTTGTGCTGGACAATAGCAATTTCATTAAAAAAAAATATTTTTAGAATTCATAGAAATTTTCTGAATTATTGAAAACTAAAATGTAATAATCAAATTGTCACCCCCATGATTTATTAAAATAATTTTACAATAATATACAACAAAGCTACCATAGAATCTGTAGCATCCATATAGAATACAATGATCAGCATGTTCTTGGGCCTAAATGAAATACAAAAACACTAATTAAAATATTTTATACAAATGATGTTTTATAAGTTTATTAACATGATGATATATTTTCCTTACAGCAAACTTGCTACAGCAAAGTAGTTCATAGTTTTCTTGCACATTTTAAATACAGGTGGACGAAAAGCTGAAATCAGTATCAGCCTGTAAATGACATAACCATGCAGAAACACTTGACAACCAAAAGATGTACAGATTGAGCCAGAGAACACCTCAGACAGGCTTTCTCTATGTCTCCAAAGGTCTCAGAAGGGGTGGTAGAGATGAAAAGAAGCAGAGTCAGTGACCTACCTGCACCGATAATGAAGCAAATAGAATGCTTATATACATTATGATCAATTTGACTAAAAACAACTCTTGTAAGCACGTAAATTGATCATAAAAAACGAGCACAGTTTATTTTCAGCTATTTGGGTGTATTGTTTTATGATAGGTCACTGACAGAGAGAAAACCAGATGGGAAATTTTAAAAGCGAACAAAAAAGTACTATTTAAAAAACAGAGTTAAGCCATGAATTCTCAACAAACACTAAAGTAAATGTGCAAAAGTGCTTGAAATTTCCACATGACCACAATATTGTTAAATCAGTTGGCAAAAGAGTATATAAAGAAACTAAACTCCAATGCTAAAACTGTACCTGCATGGTCACACATTCTGTTTATCGAAAGAAAAGAGGCTAGAAATTATTACGTATCTGAAAATATCACACCTCAAAGTTAAAATACAATTGTGGCCATTTTATAAGGTTTGACTCTTTCCTCCTTGGTGAAGCAGAGGATAAAAGCCAAAGTGGCCACAGTGCTGCTACTCAGGCTGACAAATACAGTACACCAGAATAACACCCTGAACAACTTCCTTTCTTCTTAGCTGTGACAAAACATAGCAAAGCAAAAACAAACGAAAAACCTCATTTAAATAAGAGTGTGTCTATAGTGTTTATAAAAATTAAGCCATTTGTTTGATTTAGCAAAGTATTTGTCCACATTAATGTTCTTTTTAGGTCATTTCTGTTGCTTTAAAAAGTTTATAATGAGGACTTATTTGAGCAAGCTAAAATCCTGTCACTTTCATTAGTCATGTTCTATTAAAATACTGGCTAAAACCCTTATGGAAGAGTCAAGGTTTAGAAGTCCTAGAACTCTCTCTAATACTACAGAAATGCTGATACCAAGGGAGGGAATCTGGGTATTGATAACCCATATCATTGGTTTTGCCTGTGAATGAGACGTTTGTCACACTGCACAGGCTGGACACGTAAGGGGAGGATGATATAAAAAAAAAGACGTGAGGGGCAATAGAACCTTAAATTTATAGGATTCCATATTTTTGGGTCTAGCTACTCTATACTAGTCTATCCAAATTTATTGCCAGAACAGTGCATTTTAAGAAAGTACTGTTTTAATTTGTATACATTTCCTTGGTGATAAAACATTCTGTCTTCAAAAATTGTCAAGAGTTCTGGCAAAACTGAGTCTGAGCTACTCAAAGTAAAAAAATTATTGGACAGTATATGCTCGAGCCATTGACCAACAAAAATAGTGACGAGAACTACTAAAAGCAACACTTATCCTTCCCTTCAAAAATCACATAGCCATAACACTGCCCATTTGAAACACCGACAAAATAAAATGGAGCACTGTTTGGAGAAGAACTAATGAAAAGGAAAAAGGAACAAGGAATAATGGGTGTAAGGGAAGAGGAGAAAGACAAACCAAAGAGAAGCAGAAAAGGGTCTAGTTCTGTGTTATGGCACAGACAATGCTTGCTTAGCGGTGCCTGGTTACATAGGAGGACGCGGAGTGCACACACGGATGATGGCAATAAAGACCTCACTCAGTCGCTGGAATGAAGGAACTAGGTAACTGCTTCAACAAGAACGGTCTCAGCTCCACCTTTTCTCCCAACAGAGTGCAAAGACTGAGCGTGAGCTCTGCTGTCGTCTCGTTGCTCATCTTTAAAATTCACTAAATTCTCTTCCACATTTTTCTGTTATAGAGACACGGATATCTTCTTCCTCATAGTCATCAAAGTTGCTGGTATCTCCGGAGCCTCTGAACTTTGGTATGAATGGAGCTTCAACCTACAATTGAGAGAGAGAGAAAAGTAAGTGTGATATGGTAATGTACATTAAAGAAATATATTTGGTCTTCATCTTGATTTGTGACAGAGTTCCTAAAACCCTTGGGAATTCCAAAGTACAGAGAGTGGCAAAGGCATTTTTTGTTACAATCATGAGGTGACTCTAGGAAAGTCCCAAGGTTACCGAATGGTGGGGGCTGGTTGACAAGGGAACCAACCAAGTGATTAGAACGGCGATTTTCAACCAGAGAGCCTCATGAATTTTTATAACATGCATTACCTGACTATTTAATCAGGGGCACTGACCTCTTTCCCCTTAGATGGTCAAGTGAAAAATGACAACAGCCAACACACTAGCTGTCAGGTGTGAATGCCTGTCTTGAACCATAAATATATAGGTCATATAATAGAGTTGCATCTTATTGGTCACATCACACAATAAGGTTGCATCTGATTGATTAATTATTAGCTCCAGAAATCCTTATATACATGTATAGGCACCTGATGTTTTTAAAAGTCACTTTGGAGCAAAAAGGGTAGGTAACTACTACTTTTTTTTTTTTTGTATAATAAATCAATCAAAATTACATCTAATTTTTTGGTCAGATCTGCACATAATATTTTTGGGTATACCCCAGAATTTTAGTAATTAGTTTATGAATGCCATGAAATGAAAAAGTTTGAAAATTGCTGGATTAGGAGACTGGAACCTTCAGACCATCAGGGGAGGGGAAAGGGGTGAAGATTGAGCTCAATCACCAAAGGCCATGATTTAACCAATCATGCCTAGGAAATGAAGCCTCCATAAATCCCCAAAAGACAGGGTTGGAGAACTTCCAGGTTATTGAACACATGGGGATCTGGGGACAGTGGCATGTCGGGAGAGAGTAGGAGCTCCGAGCCCCTCCCTTGTACCTTGCCCCCTATGTATCTTTTCCATCTGGTGGTTCTCGAATCATATCCTTTTATTATAAACTGGTAATGTTGTAAGTAAAGTTTCTCAGTTTTGTGAGCTTCTCTAGCAAATGAATCAATCCCCAAGAGCTGGTTAGTCAGAAGCACCGGTGATGAACTGGACTTGAGATTAGTGGCTGAAATTGGGGTGGAGTGGGGGTTAGGGGTGGTTTTCTAGCACTGAGCCCTTACCTATGGGATCTGATGCTATCTCCAGGTTGATAGTGTAAGAACTGAGTTAACTGCTTGTTGGTATGAAAAAAAACCACACACACATTTTGAAATAACAGGAAAAATAAATGCTTGCCAGTTTCCAAACACTAAGGAAATAAATTTCCACTGAATACATGATGGCATCTTTAAATTCCTGTAAGTTTCTAAATGATAACAGCATTAGAAAAAGCAGTGGACAATAGATTTGCTATTAATCTCAATGTTTTCATTCAAAGAATAGTACAGGCCAACACACACTTTTAGAGACTTATAGATAATTAACTGTTGGCATCAAGTGCTGGCAATGAAGGTTATAGAACTCTCCTTTTTCTTTTATCAGTTCCTTATTTCTAAAGACTTTATTTTCCACCCTCTTTTCCTTAATTTCTTTCTCCTGAGGTTACAGGTTAACTCTTAAACTTACTTTAATCTTCCTTTTTAAGTCCCCAAGTTTATTTTGTTTAAAATATCTGGCTATCAAAACTTTCTGAAAATTGGAAAAAGAAAATTTCTTTTAAAATTACAGAATTGTTAAATTATGAACATTTTTCTCTTTGGGACTTAAAACTTTCTTCCATTATTTAAAATGTGGTCTTTATAAAGATTATGTGGTATATAAATATGTTTGAGGAAAATATTTTAATTGCTGAGTTGAAAATACAACAAATATACACAGCATTTATAGTGTTTATAAATAATCATACACATGGTTATATCCATTTCTTCCTCAATACAACACTGTGACCGAGGTGGGACAGGTATTCTTATTACCATATGACAGATTATGAAACAGAAATTTGACCAAATTCACATGACTAATTAGGGGCTAAAGAAGTCTCAAATTCATGATTCTCTACCACCAACCAGAGTCCTTTCTAATAGCTACACCTGTATCTCCAAAGTATTTTGATTTGTCTTTTAATAAAACATAGAGTATATGCCACAAATATATGTATATTTATTTATTTATAAATTATTTACATGCATGACTCTACTTCTATAAGACATACATACAAATAAGACATTTTAAATAAGGTGAAAATAAGCAGGACTGAAAAGTCTAGTATCTTTTTGCTTGCCAGCTGGTTGCCTTGCATGTCCTGCTTTGTAAAAGCCTATTTGCACCAGGCATAGGAGGAGCTAAGGAGATAGTCGCCTCATCTCTGGTCAGGAAGCAATTTGGGATCACAACTATTGATAAAATCATTTCTAGAGAATGATTGTACAGTACAAGTTTCCAAACTATTTCCTTGTTACTGGTCTTTCTGCTAGATTCTTTTAGCTATTTCATTGTTCATGAACACTTGGTCAGAGAGTAAAAAAAATTATATTATTCAAATTAACTATTATTTTTGCACTGCTATACATAGTTACAATTGAAAAAATATTAAAACAAATAGCTATGCTAAAGTACTGATTTTTATTTGTAAATTATCCTGGGATCCCCAAGTCCATTTTTTTTTTATAATCAAGATTTGCTGTCAATCCATTTGCCTAGTACATTAACCTGTTTTGTTCCAATGTATTACTTAAAAAATTTTTTTTTGATTTCAGAGAGGAAGGAAGAGGGAGAGACAAAAAAGTCAATGAGAAAGAATCATTGATTGGTTGCCTCCTGAATGCCCCCCTACTGGAGATTGAGCCCACAACCCAGGTATGTGACCTTGATTGAAAATGAACCTGGGAATCTTCAGTCCAAAGCTGACCCTCTATCCATTGAGCCAAACCAGCTAGGGCTAGTATTTTACTTTTTGGCAGAGAAGCTATGAACTACCTGGGATAAGGCACACCCTTTGGAAAACACATAAACTCTAAATGAGCAGTAGCAGTTCAGTTCTATACCATCGTAATCCTAATATATAAAAACCCTGGGTGGTAACGACCAGTAACAACTGAGGCTCAACCAACCATGTCAACCAGAGCTGACTGCTTTCGATGCAGGCGGGTGCCTCAGCACTGACTGTTGAGGGGGCTACGAATCAGGTCCAGAGAGAGGACTGAAGGGAGAAGCCGGGACTGATTCATTGCCTTTGTGGCAGCTTTTGATCAGCACTTATCTCTTTCTTTCTCTCTCAGTCTGGCCAGCAGCCGCACCTCCATTTCTCTCTAGTCCTCCACTGGGGCTGCTGATCAGCCCTGCCTTTCTGATCAGGCCCTGTTGATAGCCCAGAGATGCTGACTGACATAGGAACAGACCAATCAGAACCAAATGTGAGTGCTGTGAAGAACCAATGGTTGCCTAGGAGGCGGGGCTTCTGACTCTAACTGGCATAGACACTGACCAATCAGTACCAAATCTGGGTGCTGTGGGGAGCCAAAGGCTGTCTAGGAGGTAGAGCTTTTGATGCTGACTGGCATAGAAACTGACCAATGAGAATCAAATTGGCCAGAAGAAAGAGAAGGGCAGTTAGGGGTGAGATCTGGCTGGCAGGGGACAGCAGTTGGGGACAAGATCAGGTGGGCAGGGAAGGGCAGTTGGGGGCAACCAGGCCAGGAGAGGAGGACAGTTAGGGGTGATCAGGCTGGCAGGCAGAGGCAGTTGGGGCAAGCAGGCCAACAGGGGAGGGCAGTGAGAGGTGATCAGGCTGGCCGGCAGAGGCAGTTATGGGCAATCAGGCAGGCAGACAGGTGAGCAGTTAGGAGCCAGTGGTCCCAGATTGCAAAAGGGATGTCCCCCAAGGGATCCCCAGTTGGAAAGGGTGCAGGCTGGGCTGAGAGACCCCCATCCGTGCACCAATTTTGTACATCGGGCCTCTAGTTTTAAAAATAATTGTTAAAAATACAATAATATGCATAGATTAACAAATGTTTGCTAGCAGCAGAAATTTTTATATCTAACTCTAAATACGAAAAGATTAAACATGTCATAATCTTTAAAATAAGAATAAAATGGACAAACCTCAAGCAAATTTAACAAATATATCTATATGTAGCATTAACAATAAATATAACAATAAAGATAATATAAGCAATTATAATTACAAAAGAACATGATTAATTTTATTTAAAAATATACATTTCTAAAACTAACTCAAGAAGAGGCAAAAAATTGAAGACACCAATATCCAAAGAATTCGTTTGTTAAAACTTTCAACAAATAAATACAAGATAATTTCTATGTCCTTTAAGTTTCCTAAAGAATAATAAACAGAAAATTTCCAAAACTCATTTTATGAATTTATATAAGCTCAACTCCAGAAAAATAAAAGCTATAGGTCAATAAAAGTTATGACTATGGAAATAAAAACCCTAAGTAAAATTTTAGCATATTGATTTCAGGCAAATATTGAAATAATACTCCATGATTAAATGGTGTTCACTTCAGGAATGTGAGGCTATCTCACTAATACACTTCATCATAGTAATATGTCAAAGATAAAATACAGCATACTAGGTAAGAATCAAGGATAGAACCTTAACTTGACCAAGAATACTTATGCAAGACCAATAGCTAATCTTGTATTTGATGTTTGTAAAACAGGAAACGCACTCCATTTTAAAGAGGAACAAGACAAGTAGCTTAACAGCATTATTGCTTTAAAATATTATTCCAGATATTTTAGCATATATAATATAACAAAATGGAAATAAAAATATAAATATTGAAAAGGAAGAGGCAAATGATACCTCTGTACCTGTCAATAAAGTCACTGCATCACTGAAAAAGTTATGGAAATCAAAAACAGAATTTAGCAAGGTGGCCAATTACAGTAAAAACTAGAAATCCTATATTTCCCCTATAATCTATCCATCTATGTAAAAACCTAAGCGACCATCTGACCATCCAACCATTCAACCAGTAGCTATGATGTGCAATGAGCACAAGGGGGCAGATGCTCAATGCAGGAGCTGCTGAGCTGTGGTGACTTGGCAGCTACCGTTCTCAGGTGATGCATCACCTGGAACCAGAGAGAAGGGAGCCCAATTCTGGGGTGTGTCATCCAAGAAACTCTTTCTCGCAATCCAAGATCCCTTGGGGGATGTCAGAGAGCCAGTTTCAGCCTGATCCCCACAGATCAGGCCAAAGGACCCTATTGGTGCATGAATCTGTGCACTGGGCCTCTAGTCTACTATAATGGGAAAGAAAATACATTCATAGTAGCAGGGGGGATAAATGGTGATTAATGGAGACTTGATTTAGGGTGGTGAACACACAATACAGTGTACAGAAAATGTGTTGTGGAATTATGCATCTGAAACATGTATAATTTTATAAACAGTGTCACCCTAATAAATTCAATGAAAAGGGGGAAAAAGAAAATATTTCTACTACATATAACTTAAACATCAGCTTTAAAAAAGTTTTTCAGTTGAAGAAGGGAAAGGCTCACCTTCCTCTGGTAAATAGCAATCCAATCTGTTGTGGCAAACCACTTGTGAGTCTTGATGTCACTCACACCGTTCTTCAGATTTCCAAACCGTTTGGTCAAATCCACCTGCAGCAGGTTCCGTAGAAGGTCCTTCAGGTCTGAACTGAAGTGCGATGGGAATCGGACCTGCACACACATACCATGGATTAAACACACATCCCAAGACTCATGCCATTTCTCTTTGGATTTCAGAAAGTTTTCTTAAAAAGATGAACAAAAAATATGCGGTGATAACCTTCAAATACTTTTAACTACTCATTTCAGTCCCCATTTCAGTAGTCTTAGAGAAAAGAGTTATTTGGGTGAATGAAATTATGCTTTCAGGCCCCTGTTTTGGTCACGAACTCTTTTCAAGAACATAGACCCCCCCCCCCACCCCCGGAAAAACATGTTTGACATATAGAACTTCTCCAGCAGCGTCAGAAGGTTTCCCAATCTCTTGGATCCCACTTTACAAAGTTCTGTCTTAGAGACATACAAATTTAAACTTATAACTTAAATATAAAAAGCAGAATATAAAGATATCAGTATGCGCATTTTGAAAAGAGATGATAAAAAAAGAAATCTAAAAATGATTATAAAAACCCACACTTCCTTTCACAGCACAGGAAACCGTTTTCCATGTATTTATTAGTGGGTGAATTTTTAACATAATTCTGCTATTATGCAACAGTATAAAAATGATTTAGATTACTTTACAAGCATTTCCTACTTCCTAAATTATGAAGATTTTACAATGAGTTGACTGACCTCCAGCCTTAAAACAAAATAATAAAAAACACCCAAAATAACAGAAGACATTATATATTAGGCAATCAATAAAATAAAGTATTAGTCCTAGGAGATTAGGACTATTTTTTTTTTTTTTTAACAAATTCTTCTCCTCTAACTTTCTACTCCAACATAACTTCCAGTACTGAAAAATTAAAGGATGATATTAGAATAGCTACATTTTCATCTTTTTACTCTTTTCTTTCATTACTGCCTCTTCTCCACTGTCCTTTTCAACTTGTCCTCTTCCCCGTCACACATGCAGATATATGCAAATATCTATGTATGTCTGTGTGTGTTCATCTGCACTTTAATTCTAATCCCCTTTCTCTTATGCACGTCTTGGTCTCATTTCATATTCCCATGCCCCACTAAACACAACTCTATTTTCTGGATTATCATGGCATTGCCTTCCAACTGACTGTAGACCCCTGTAGAAAATGCTTTAAAGAGTTAACAGATCCATTTCTAAACTTGCATGCTTACATACTGTTGCATACTTCTCTACAAGTACCACCATCACCTTATAACTTGCAAAGAGACTCATCATATTACCTCAGTTCATTTCCACAATGCATTCATTCAACTATGCTGTAGTATTTGTGGATGGCTGTCTTTCATAGAGTAGGAGTTTCTAGAGGGGAGAAACTGTGCCATTTTTGTGTTTTGATTCCCAGAACTCATTAGATCATTTCAAGTAATGTAGTTCATTGATTTTAGAATTACTTATTGAGTATCTGCTATGCACCAGGCACTATTCTAGCTGTTAGATATACAGCATGAGCAAAAACAAAATCTCCGATTTCATGAATCTTACATTCTAGTTAGATAAGACATACTCAGTGGATATGGCATTAACTCTAGAGATGGAGAGAAACTAAGATTCAGAGATAATATATAACTTACCAAATCATCAGACTATAAAGTGGCTGAGCTGGGTGGGACTAGGCATCTAGACTTATGATTCCTAGCCTCATAAATTCTGCTCTTTACATTGTCTTCAAATATATATAACTCCCACTTTCAAAAAGCTCAACATACTTGATGTATACTTATGTTCTCAAAATAGAAGTTAAGTCATGAGCATGCACAGCTCGATTCCATGGCAATGCCAGAGTCATAACCATCTTCTGACTGCCACTCTCATGCCAAATGTTTCCCAAAGCGTGGTCATAGGATCCACTTCTATTGGAATCAATTGGGAAAGAGGATAACAATGCAGATTCCTGGGGCTTACTTCAAATGATGGATGGGGCTTTAGGTTAGAACTCTGAGCTTCTGTCTCCAAGTGACTCATATGTAAAGACATGGAAGTTTGAGGAGCACTGTTTGCAAGTCTATTCACTTCTTTATGTAGAAATTTTATTATTTCTGCCAGTGACAGATAAATTTTTTAAAATGTAAGTAATAAGCTAACATTATTGCCATATCAAAGAAAAACTCAATAATATTTGCGCCAAACAACCAAAGACTATTCGAAGGTTGACTAGATAGTAAATGACCAGGATTTGGAGGTCAACTCGTACAAATTAGCAACTAGAAACTTCATTTTTTTAAAAATCTAAATTAACACAGATAAGTTTTATGGTTTTTTTTTTCTTTTTTTTAAAGGCATGTGAATTACCATCTCCTTTGGATTTTACTTCTCATACAATGGCTTATTAGAAATTAGGCACTGTGTTAAACAGCTTATATGCATTGGCTCATGAAATCCAAAACGTAGCACTGAGGTAAGTTTTATTATTAAAGTTGATGTAGTTGAGGCCTAATCCTGCAGAGCTAGTAACTGGTAAAGCTGTAATTTCAAACCAGGTATTTTGACTCTAGCACATACACTTTTAATTAGTCTAATACTATTTCCATGACTCAATAACCTGGTGATAGTTATTGTCAGTAACTTTACAAAAGACTGAAATTTTCATCTTAAAAATATTTGCTACACATTTCTTTATCCTAGTTGGAATAAAAACTGGAGCATATGGGTATTCAAAAGGCACACTATTTAAAACATAACATGTTTTATCTATATATGGTGGTTATATTCTTTGTTTAGATTTCAAAAAAATAACTTATTTGAAGAGCTATCTTTGTTGATGAATAATTCGCACGAACTTTTCAATGTAACATGTCAGTTATTCTCTCTTTCATGGTGTTCAGAATGGTGGACAATATGCACTACATATAAATTATCTTTTGAATTCAGGTAATATGCAATGCAAAGCATGACGAATATATACACTTAAATAAAATAGAAGTTCTTTATTTTAGAATGCAGATAAAATGATGATTTTGAATTAGTTAATGTGTATGTGCATCTGTTTAATCTTCAGAACTATAACTTTCAAGTGGGGAGTGGCAGTGGGGGGCGATAATGGTAGATAACAGACTCATTTAGCAACCTATTCAAGTTGTAGACACATTCTCCTCACCTCCACATCACAGGCTCTTGCTCACCAGAGTTTCTGATCAGTAGCCCACACTCCCATAGTAAGCCATGTTAATAATGGGAATCTGTCATAGCCTTAAAAGCATACTGAGACAGAATAATGAGAATTCTTGTGAAAGAATCTTCCCCATGTTTGTTCTAAAATGTAATCAGAAATCCAGTTTCTTTTTGACGGAAAGAAACTGGATTTCTGATTACAATTAACACCCATGTTAATTCATCAAACTGAAATTAGCAAATCAAAACAAACCAAAACAAAAATTCCCAAAACAAAAGCAAAAGCAAAAAAGAAAATAACTTAAAATTATGTTTTAATTGAAAAACCTTTACTTATAGCGTAGGGTGGGTTAAAAGTAGGTTTACAGTTGTTCATATGGAAAATAATAAAATCATTAGTTAATAATACAAGAGTAAAATGTGCTTTGCACACTCACAACTATAAATCTACATTTTGTCACACCTGGAAACACTAAAGATTTCTATAATGGGAAGAATGACTCATTTTTCCTTCAAAACTGTATCTGGAATGGCATTATTTCTATCACTATTATCAATTATATCTGCTGTACAAAGTATAATCAGAATCATGGAATATCAGAGCTAGAGGGAGCTCAGTTTAATTTAGTCTAAACCTTCATTTTAAAGATAAGGAACCTGAGCTCCAGTGAAGCTGCCAATTCAGTTATTGGGGGGAAAAACTTAATCCTCCAGATTCTTCCATCTTCCTGCCAGGCCATGCTAGGGCAAATAACGTGGAAGCAGTTATAAAGAGCCAGATATGGAAAAGAGATAGTCTAGACACATTAAACCATTAGCTGTAAGAGATAAGATTATTGGAAACTGGCATTATTTAACATGAAAGAGGTGTTTGTGCAATATACACTTTGTAGAGTGTTTATTTGGTCCTCCCCCCCCCCCCCAATATTTCCCACTTATATTCTCCCTCTCCCCCCAATATTTAGAGACCAAGTTACTTCTGAATTTCCTCATGGTATATTTTTTAGAATAAGTATATTTCTACAGTGAAGTATAGGCAAACAAAATACATAGTGTGTATCAAAATTGTCTGTGATCATTTAAAAAGACAGATGTTCAGAATACACAGAAGATCAAGTGAGTCAGTATCCCTGACAGTGGGCATCTACTCATGAAAGCTTCTTGGAGGCAGGGACCACACTGATTTGCTGTATCCAGCACTGGTATGGCATATATGATGAGCTCAAGAAATATTGAATGAATGCATATATTCAAATTTGACAAATACCAATTAGACACCTTCAATGGGCTGGGCACTGAAGTAATTTGGTGGCAAACAAAATAAGACAAAGATTCCTGTCTTCACAAAGTTTACATTCTTCTGAGGAAGACAGATAACTTAGTGACGAGTAACACTTTAAAAATGTTTGTCCTATCATTCCTCACAAAACCTTGCATTGTAAGGTCTTTATTTTTAATTTTTAAGAAAATGGAGAATCATTGCAAGGTTCCGGGCGGAATAACAGGATCTGATTCAATATTTTTAAAGGCTCACTCTAGTGACTCAGAAGACAGCAGTGTCAGTGGAGGTGGTAAGAAGTGATTGAATTCTGCATAATTTCTAAAGATAGAGCCAAAATGGTTTTCCTGTACATTGGTGAGGTCTCCAGAGTGTTCTGGCCTGTGTAACTGAAAGGATGATGTTGTCATCAACTGAAATGGGAAAGGTGATAGGAGAAATGCATTAGCTACAGAAAACAAAGATCTGTCAATTTTAGACAGGTTGAATTTGAGATGTTTATTAGGCATGGAGATCTCAGGTGGGAAGTTGAATACAAGAGTCTGTAACTCATGAGTCAGGTATGAACTAAAAAACATTTAGAAATTGTTAGCTGGCATTAAAAGTCATGAAGGAGTTTGAAGAAAGTATAAA